TTGAGTATGCTTCTTTCCATTCTATGTTGACACGTTTCTAATGATTTGATGTTTTTCTTTGTACAAATCCATGTCTGGCATCCGTAGCTCATGCTTGGTAGAATGCATGTATTAAATATTTTCTTTTTTCCTTCCATTGGTATATCTGGGTTTTTATGACATCTTTTAGAGCCCAATATCTTTTCCGTCCTATGTTTATTCTATTGTTGATTTCTTTTGTTGTGAGGTCTATAGGAGATATTATTTGGCCCAAGTATGAATACTCTTTGACACATTCCAGTTCTGTAATGTTGTTGGGTTTGATTAATGTTTCATCAGAGTTTGTCATTACTTTGGTTTTACTACTGTTCATCGATAATCCCACTTGTTCGCTTTCGAGTACTAATTGTTCAATCATAACCTGTAGGGTCTTTGGATCTCCACATATTAGAATCAGGTCATCGGCGAATCTTAGATGGTTTAGTAAAACTCTATTCACATTTAAGCCATATTCATTCCATTCAAGTTGTCGAAATTCATGTTCTAGAGTTGCCAAGAAAAGTTTGAGTGACAAAGGGTCTCCTTGTCGAACTCCTCGTCTGATAGGGAAATATGTGCCTATCTTTTCTGTGCGTATTTTAGCTTTCATATTTCCATATACGGTTTTTATTATGCGAATGTATTTGTTGTGAACCCCTTGTGATGTAAGGGCTTCCCAAATTTTCTCATGCTTAAGCTAGTCGAACGCTTTATTGTAGTCAATGAATGCTAAGTAATATTTTATTCCATATTCATTGCATTTCTGGATAATTTGTTTGATGGTATGAATGTGGTCGATGGTTGAGAAGTCACTTCGAAACACTGCCTGTTCTTTTGGTTGATTTTCGTCTAAGGTCTTTGTTACACGTTCTAGTATTATCTTGGATTTTTTTTTGTATATATTAGACATTAGTGAGATAGCTCTGTAATTCGAAATATCATCTTTCCTTCCTTTCTTGTGAAGTAAAATTATAGTGGAAGTAGTCTATTGGTGAGGTATAAGTTCAGTTGTTACAATTTGGAAATGTTGTCTTCTCCTGATGCTTTCCCTCTCTTCTGTGATTTTATAGCTTTGACAATTTCATCTTTGAGTATGTTTGGTACTGCTTCTTCTTCTGGAGTTATAGCTGTCTTGTCACTAGTGATTGGTGTGATTTGATCATAGCTATAGAGATTACGATAGAAATCGGTCGCTGCGTCTAGTATGTATTTCATTTCTTTTAGATTTATGTTTTTTAGTTTTGTGGTGTGTTATGTTGATAATCCATTTTGTGAATTCTTGAAGTTCCTTTATCGCACTCTTGATTCCGCCTGATTTTGTAATGTGCAATTTTGTCGATTCTGTTCTCGGTGTATGTCTGTACTTCTTGATTTCTAAATTTATTTCTTTACTTAGTTTAGTTATTTTTTGTTTATTGTTTTTCCTGTTTTTAAATAAGAGTGCTCTTTGGTTTATTAATTTTCCTAATCTATCCTTTGGTTTCGATTTGTTATACTTTTCTAGATTTTTATTGGTTTCCTTTAATATTTTTTCTAAGGTATCGTATTTTTCCTGGACTGATCTACATTTATTTATTTGTATTAACTTTGTTTTTAAGGATTCTAAGAGTTGACTTGGCAGTGGTAATGTAATTGTTTCTTTTTTATTTTGTATATATTTTCTAGATTTCTTTGGCTCAAGTATGTGTAAGTGACCTCGGAGTAATCTGTGATCAGTAAAATAGTTAAAGTTATTAAGAAATTTAACGTTTAAGAAAAGCTTTGGTTTATTCATGATAATAAAATCTATCTCATTTCTTATTTGTCCGTTAGGAGATTCCCAAGTCCATTTTCTTTTAAGTTTTCTTTTATAAAAAGTATTCATAATATGTAAGTTATTTTCTAGCGCGAAGTTTATAAGTCTTTGTCCGTTATCGTTCCGTTTGCCAGTTGAATAGGGTCCAAGTATTTTATCCTCCTTCTTTTCTCTGTCGCCGATTTGGCTATTAAAGTCTCCCATCACTATAATAGCATCGTATAAGGTTTCCATAGTTTTATTCAGGATTTCGTAAAAGGTATTTTTTACTTCTTTATTTGCTACCTCAGTAGGAGCATATACTTGAACTATTGAAATCGGATGTTTGTGTTCGGGAAGTGCGATGTTTAGGATGTCTATTCTGTCTGAAACTCCTTTGAATTCTATAATTTTTTTTTTCAAGTATTTTTTAACTAAGAAACCCATACCGTATATTCCTGGTATTTTGTTTTTATAGTATAGAATGTATTCTTCATGTTCTTCAATTTTTTCCGTCGATCTCCGTCATCACTAATACCAAGAATATCCCAGCTTATATTATTCAACGCTTGTTCTAGTTCTGTTAAACAATTATTTGACTTTAATGATCTTGTATTTAGTGTTGCTATGTGTAGTCTCTTTTTCTGGGTTGTTCTTTGATTTTGCATCATTAATTTGAGATTTTGGGGGGATTGGTCTATAACCCCGCGGTGACCAACCGTATTAGGGCTTATGTTGTTTTTAATTTCTCTTTTGTTTTTAATATTTATTTTAGTTTCGTTACCGGTGTCTGATAATTCCTATGCTTTATTTTTTTAAGATGGTTTATCAGTTAAAGATGTGGGTCTTGCTCTCATGTAATCAAATGCGTTTGTTTTATGCAGCTTAGGAGGTGCAATAAGATTTTTCGAACCACTCGAGTGTGCTGGTGGTGTATGTATGTTGTTAGGTGAAGAAATCTATACTTAACGTTAAAACGTAAATAGGAACGAACCCGAGCGGAGCGAGGGTGAGTCGCTACTATAAATATATGTATGATTATTTATATATTTGATTATGTCGGTTGTCTGTAAGAGATCACTTTTAGTGATAAGGCCGCATTTGCACATCTTTTTAATTGTATTTTTTGTTAATGTACCATTTTCGTTTGCAATAAAGTGTTATAAATAAATAAAATGAAATAAAAAGGAAAATTGAATGTCAATTCTTTCATAAATTGTAATAGTTGTGTTGTTAAAAGTATTTCTGTTTGTCGCTTAGGACTTAGGTAGGTAATGCCTTCTTTAATGATTTAAAGTACAAGTTTAACTAACACCAAGTGGATTTCACTTTAACGCATGACTTCAGAAAATGTTGTTTATATAAGCTTTCCTTTCGGTAATAAATACATTTATTAGGTATCTCTCAATATAACTTCGCTTTAACGTAACAATTTATAAGAAAAATAATACATAAAGCAAAAATAAACAAACAGAATAATTAAAAATAATAATTTGAATAACACTCAGGAAAATGTTATAATACAATTTGTAATCTACATTCTAGAGCATTAAAGGTTGTAGTGAACAGTAGTTTTGCAATAAGTATAACTATTTTATTCATGTAAAAAGTGCTGCATTTAAAAACAACCGGTAATACATTATGTACCATATGTATATTAGTAATATATGAATTTATAACTTTCAGAAAATCTACGCAATAACAAAAACTGTTGGGTTATAAAACTTAACAATGACATTCCTAATATAACTTTTTACGATGTAAATCTATACATGTAATAAAATTCTAACTAAGTCGAATCTGTACATTAAATATTTTTTGCAAAATATTATTGAAATAGAGGTCGAATGTATAGTTTTTAAATTTTTGTCTGTATATCTGTCTACCTGGAAAACACCACGAGAAAACCACTGGACACATTTTGATGACATTTCAACATACAGGATTGGACATTTTACTGCGGGCAAGTATCTCATCTCTGAAAAATCTATACTAACCGTTAAAACGTACTTAGGGACGAACTGGAGTGGAGTGAGGGTGAGTATTCAATAAATACTTATGTAATAAGACGTCAAAGGTATTATATAATGTAAAATAATTCAATCGACACGAGACTTGCTTTAAGTGAGTGGGATGGTTTGCTTCTTTTATAGAATGTGTATGTGTATTCAGGCCTTTTTAACGTCCCACTGCTGGGCACGGGCCTCCCTTCAGTACGAAGGGGATCAGGCCATAGTCCACCAAGCTGGCCAAGTGCGGGTTGGCGGACTTCACATATCTTTTGAAAACTTGCCAGGTTCTCTCAGACATGCAGGTTTCCTCACGATGTTTTTCTTCACCGTTAAGACAAATGGTAATCATGTTGGAAAAGATTTGCACATGACAATATCAGAGGTGCGCGACGCGGGTTTTGAACTCGCTTCACTCGGTTTCCCAAGCGAGCGCATAGCCCTATAGGCATTTATTTGATAGATTTGTTGTTAATTTTTGTAATAAAGAAGGTGATAATGTACCTATGACTACTTTAATGATGGATAAGAAAAATATGTTATTATAAAGTAAATCAATATTTTCATTTTATACGCATGATTTTTTTCAGTTTTTTATGCAATAGCTTACATCGTTATATAATAATTGTAAACAGCTCCAAAACACTAAAATTTTGTATGAAAAAAACTTTAAACGCTCGCCATTTTGCGCGCTCTACATGACGTCACTGTGTAATATACATAGAAATGACTACAGTATTGGTAAGCGACGAAATTGCTAATTGCCCTTTTATGATATTATACTCTGGCGTCATATTCAGCCTGACCAATGGCGTTGCGTTTCAACTACTTTGAATTTTCCACCTGTTTTGGACTTTTTGATAATTATTTCCTTAATCGAAAAGAAATTAGATTAAAAATATATTGATATATGCTTAAATCGAAAGCAATAAAGATTATAAAAAAAACATTTTACCTTCCATTACATTATACGCGTATTCCCTATTATATTATTATTATTATTATTATCTGGATACAACAAAACATATTACTTAGGTCAGTATTCGGTTTTCGGCCGAATAGGATAAAAATAGCCGAATAGGCCAAATACCGAATATTCGTTGCAAGTCTAATTAAAATAAAACAAATTTGGGATGCATATTATTGTAAACACGATTTAATTACACTTTATACAAGGTAAGTACGTCAAAGTCCATTTAGTAATAGCCGTAATAGTTGTAGGGATAGCCGGAGTAGCCGCCATAACCGGAATAAGCGGCAGGGTTTGAGTAACCAGAGTAACTTGAATATCCTGGATAACCAGCCTGGTAGCCGTTGTACCCATAGCTAGAGTACAGCTGTGGCCGAGCCGCAGCAAGGGCCAAGATAACGAAAAGTATGACCTGGAAACAGATATAGTATTAAAAAAATATTATTTGGATATCCAAAGAAATTACTATTTTTGTGATGTGACCTCTCTTTAATTCATAGATAAACAAATAGCTCAAAATATATATTTATAGTTAACCGAAAAAATAAAACTTATCTAAATCTTAATTTACTAACATAATTTATGTATGTACTTATAAAATCAATGATAAGAAAAATATAGCCGGTAAATAAGCTTTCACAACCTTTATTTTTTTTATAAAATACCTTTCTTTGTCTACCGAATTAAATTAGGAAATTCAAGAAGCAATGTGTTTATTCAACAATTTGAAACCGCGTTAAAACAGTAGAGGAAATATTCAAAACATGCATATAAAATTAAATATTTTACAATAAAATAAATTGTTTCATAAGAATCTTAACTAGAATCTAATATATTTTCAAATTTAAGCAGTGCAATGTCGAAGAACACTAAATTTGTAGGAAAATTCTTAAACATTGAATAACATTCTTGAAATTCGAGAAGTTTCTATCGTTACGACGTACACTTTTTACATCTTACGCCATTTTTCTCTGATTATATTGTATTCAAAATATTTTTGGATTTTTCTATTAGAAACCACTCTCATTTGAAATATAAATGTAACGAATACATAAATGATTATATATTTAGGTTTGTTATTTACTTTTTATTATGTATTTACTTATAGTGATAGTTTGTCTTTTGGTATTTCAATACTAAAAATACAAATTTAATTAGACTTAAAAATGAACGATTGGAATTCATTATTATACTTAGAAATAAGGACCTCTAGATGATTATTTGTTGAGCAGGTATAACCTAGACAGCCCAAAAATAAAACGAGACGTTCGATTTTTAGTTCAGATACACTGTATATGAAAGTCACTTACCAACTTAGCGAACATTTTCAATGGAACCCAAAGTATAATTGCAGGAGCTGTTTCTTACCCTTGGATTGTGAAATCACACTGATTTATTTTTATTATTTTGTCAATATTTATACTTTACACGCGTCCTTGAGGCCTTAAACCATAATGTTAACTGCACAAAGAACCAATGGGACTCAATGTAAATTAGGACAACAGAAAAACATATTGAGGACGAGCACTACATTTACAATTAGGTACTCTTTGTTTTGCTCGAATGTTCACAAGAACATGGGTCGAATATTGTAGTTATAGTATTGTTTGTTTTTATTGTCGTTCGTTTCACGTCTCATAGGTAATTAGTTTAGTACTATAATCTTGCCATATTTGGCATTCTTTAATTCTTTTGCAAAGTTTTACTCATATATGAAATAAAATACTTGTTACGTGATACTGAAGTGTCAATATGACACAAGCATTTTCCTGTTTTCACGCAAACACCTTTCCTTACAGGTTATTGAACCATAAACGTGTTGCGTCGTCACATTGTTATCTTTGTATGCAAACAAATAACAACAGAAGCTTTTAATGTGTCAAAGTTTATGTCAATATTTTTATAATTTTATAATAATTTGTATTAAGAAAAATATTAATTCATATTAGTATACATTATACCTACTAATTAAAAAGAACTCTATTTGAAACCTTAATACTTATAAATGCCACACTCATTAGTATATTTACTTTCCGATCCAACTAAAAATATATTTTAGCAGTAATAAATAAAAAAAATAACTAATAAATAATATAAATAGGTATATTGTTAACATATAAATACACAATATTATGTACCTATTTATTTAGCAACGACTAAACCTGAACTCCACTCGTATATAATATCTAAAACAAAACAATAGAGTCCAAGCCCTACTATTACAAACTATTTTTATTGTTTATTCAGCGAAAGCTCTTTTTATATACCTTTTTAAAAAATTGTTTCTAGCCTCAATCGTCTATACGCTAGTGGAAATGCCCTTAGCATTAATTAATTAAGTCAATTTTATTGTATTGTATGACTTTTCTGATAGCGAAATGGGCCACAGGAGCCTCTGGTTGTTGTGATCCAACTCGACAGGCCCGCAGTTGGGGCGTCTTGGTTGAGTGCTTTGGTGATCCTGCGGCGCCTCATTAGGATGGGGTTTATTGGGAGGATTCCATTGGTCGGTATGGATAACACTAAATTCCTGTATGTATACCAGTAATGTACTTAAATGTATTTCCCACCACACAATTTAATATTAATAATTATAGAGATTAACATTTCCCACTATTCTTGTATGAAATATTTAATTAAAATAAATAGTTTATGAGTTAAAGCGTTAAGTTAGATAATTTTTATACAAGCTTTAAAGGCCAGAGGAAGGGCCTGGCAATAATAAATATTGTTTAATAAATGAAAACCAGTTTAGTATTATTTCTATGTGCCTTTGTTACCTTTGATTCCCGCTTGTAAAAAATTGCAAGTTCGTATTATAGTAGTATTAATCCTCATATTTTAAGTTTTTTTAAAATAACCTAGTTTTCTCGGCTCATGCAGCCATGCTATACATTATATTTGACTAGCATTGCCCGCGGCTCCGCCAGCGTTCAGATGACCAAAAACCAAATTCTTAGGTTTTACATATTAGTATACTCTTATATTGCAGTTTTTGTACTTTTCAACCGACTTCAAAAAGGAGGAGGTTCTCAATTCGACTGTATTTTTTTTTGTTTTTTTTTTTTATGTTTGTTACCTCAGAACTCCGTCATTTATTAACCGATTTGGACAATTTTTGTGTTGTTTGAAAGTGTATACTTCCAGATTGGTCCCATTTAAATTTAAAAAAAAATACCACCCCTAAGGGTGGAAAAATAGCTAATAATGAATTTAACCTACTTCTAATTGTCATATTGACTTGAAACTTTGCAAGTGTTTCTATTTCCGTTGATAGTACAGTAGTTCGATATTGTTGACCTGATCTGATGATAAGGCCAGAAGGTGGATAGGTGGAACTCTTCAACGGCTAATAGTAGATACTTGAGTTTGGGCTTGTTTTGTTTGATTTGACAAGCCTAACACGTTAGAATTCTTACTTTGCTACTACTGTCTACACTAAAAAGGGAAAAATAAAAACTTTTTAACAAAAAATAAAAACCGACTTCAAACAAAAGCACTAAAAAGTAAAAAATAACTGATTGGTAGTTTTCATTTACTATACATACCTAATCAAATATTTTCGAAGTCGGTGTGCTTTGGCTAAGTAATTAAAGCCTACCTATTAAATACATACCTAATCAAATATTTTCGAAATCGGTGCCAGCTCATACAAAGCAAAGCACACCGACTTCGAAAATATTTGATTAGGTATGTATAGTAAATGAAAACTACCAATCAGTTATTTTTTACTTTTTAGTGCTTTTGTTTGAAGTCGGTTTTTATTTTTTGTTAAAAAGTTTTTATTTCTCAGAAATGAGATATTTTGCCGCGGTAAAAAGTATCCTTCCTATATGTTAACCCGGATAACCAGCTATCACCATGCCAAATTTCATCAAAATCCTTCCAATGGTTTTTCTGTGATGCGGTAACAGACAGACAGACAGAAAGATAGACAGACAAAATTTCTAAAAACTATAGATTCGGCCTCTGTATCGATAATAATATCTATTTTAATAAGATTTTTCAAAAAATGTACTGATTCGGCTTAGTTACATCTATAGTTATATATATATATATATATATATATATATATATATATATATATATATATATATATATATATATATATATATAATATTTTCAAATACATATTCCTATTTACATAAAACTTGCACTCACTATTTTCTTATGTTACCCTTCCTACACCTAACGCAGATTCATAATAATCTTCGGAATAAGCTTATCCTTCAATTTAATTTAAACCCAATGCTATAATTTCTACATTTATATTCTATTATATTTCGCTGTCATTTAGTTCAGTTTTTATTGCTTTTAAAGTGATTTTAAATTTAGAGCGGAGATTGTCTCTCGACCGAGTGGATATACTCGTATAAGGCTTAGTAACGTTGGTTGATCTTGGTGGATCATAGAGAGTTATGCTTTGATATTAGATGTGGAAGTCTGATCGGTGTCTTAAAATCCGCTGCTTCACAAAATTATTACCATCAATACACACATAAACCAAACAGTATTAGTTTATTTAATCAGAGTATAGTAATTTTTATATAACAATAAATTAATAGTTATGCGTCATAATAGCTATAGGTCAGAAACAAAAAATATAAATATAGATACATTTTTATATTACATTTATTATTATACAATTATCGATATAAGCCAGTAGGTAAACTAAAAAATACTAGAGATATCTATTTAGTGTGATATCAACGAACAAAGAAAGTGTCAAACGGATAAGCAGAGTAAGAGAGACGAGTGAAAGGAGCTGAGTACGGCGAATAGACTGATGGTACTCCAGCAGCCGGGTACACGTAGTCATAACCACCGGAGTAAGCGATCAGTTGAGGCGCTGGCTCTGGCTTCGGTGCAGAGAAAGCCACAGCCAAAATAGCGAAAAGAGCAAACTGAAATAATATAAGATAATTAGAACTAGTAGGTATAAAAACTAAAAAAATACCTTGCAGTAAGATTATAGATTATGGTTTGATTGATTTATTTTACATAATATAATTTTTGAAAAACAAATTTATTTTAAATATTTTTCTTCTATTTGTGTTAGGGCTTACGATTAAGAATTAATAAAGAAATTTAAATATAACTTACTAGATTGTAGAACATTGTTGAAGTTAATTTACTCCACAAGTACATACATGATCATTCTAATACGACGTTATATACCAAAAATAAATCCTTGAACTTCAATAAACGACCTTCGAAAAATGAATATGTCATATGAACAATTGCTGGCAACATACTTGTACCTACTCATACATCAAGTAGACTATCACGGAAGTTAATGATTGTAAGATTGCGGACACACTACATTCATTGATCTATTACAAAATAACAATATTAACAATTGTTTATATCTGCAAAAAAAATCCATTTTTGGTGTAAAAATAGAAACTTCGTTTTATTAAGAATATTTTTAGCGTATTCACCAAAAATGTCGTACATAATCGAATTGAAAATGAGTAGCTTAAATACATATGTATATCTATACTACTAATACTATTATGAGATGGTAGACGCAAAAAGAATTTTGAAAATCCTTCTGGTACGTTCAGAAATAATTGCGTTCAAACAAAATAAAAAAAAAACTTCAGCTTTGTTTTTAAGTATAGGTTAGAAGCATTTGAAATAAATAGCCTATCAGATCTTTTTTCTAAAGGAGAAATTTGACTTGGAATGAGACAAAATTATTTGTATTGTAATAACACAACTTGTGAATGAATTTTAAAAGTTGTCTTATAAATATGAGGGAGGAGGATTTAGTTACCTTTTTCTGCTTTGAAACCTTATTATTGTTTAAAGTCACTATGTTATTTAGTTTACTTTTTATTGCTTTTAAAGTGATTTTGAATTTAGAGCAGAGATTAGTCTCGAGCGGGGTCGAGACGCCATCATGACATTCATTGGAGATACGTGGCTTAGTAACGTTGGTTGATCATGGTGGATCATAAAGAGTTATGTTTGGATGTTATATTTGAAAGTCAATGATCGGTATCTGCGAACCCGCTGCTCCGCCAAATTATTAGAATTGCCATTTCAAGTTTATAACATTATGATTTTCCTTTTCAACTTTACATTAAATTGCTTTAACTAGTTAGTAATTGCATTAACTAGTTTTACATTAAATTGTGTATTGAGCATTGAATACTTTATTATTTGAGCCCTGATAGGATTAGTAATCACTAAAGATGATGTTCGTAGTATATGGATAACACGACAAATATATATTTTCAAACTGTGTATACTAAGCCTTAAACTACGTTTAACGAAGTTTATATTACCTTACCTAAAATGGAATTGTAGCTAAATACAATCTTGCTCTAATTATAATCTTTGTTTGTCGTTAAGTCGAATGTATTGAGTTTATTTTTCTATGCACACCTACACAACAAGTACAACAAAGTATGTAGAGAAGCTTCCTGGATTTGAAATCATAAGCTGTTTCCATTTATGCACAGGCTTACACGAGGCAGTATATCAATAAATAATATTAACATAACTATTTTATGAATAATTGATCTATATTTTGCGTCTTCAAGCATTACTTAATACTATAGCTTATTCGTCTGTTTGTGTATGAAGGTTAATGTGAAGACCTATGTACTGAAAATTTCAGAAATTCTTTACTGACAAAAAGTTACAATATTTATTACTGAGTAAGTAGTAACATAAACTACTTATTTTATCGACGTATCGTACGATACCTAGTTTTTATCCTAATACTTGAAATACCTACCCCCTTTTTTCATCGTCAGATGTTAGATGTTGTTTCAGTTTTATAATATTACTAGCAGAACCCGCGGCTTCGCTCGCGCTAAAACTCATCCCCTATTTTACCCCCTTATGGGATGAATTTCGAAAAATGCTAAAACTCGTATTTATTTAATTGTACTGAAGAGCATTAATACCAAGTTTCAAGTAATTCTGATCATAAATATTTTTTTAGTTTGTATTATAACGTGTTTTCCCGTGGAAATGAGAATCTGCCGCGATAAAAAGTGGCCTATGTCACTCTCCGACCCTCCAACTATCTCCATACAAAAAATCACGTCAAAGACAAACACACAAACAATCACACTTTCACATTTATCATATTATTAGTATAGTATATTAGTATTAGTATGGATATAAGTTTCTTGAGCGAGAAACTTATTTTACATAACACTTTAAGCTGAAATACCATCTACTAACACTATAATAAGTTTCTCGAGATATAACAATACCTATATAAATAATAACAATAGGTGCATGTACCATACTTTCGAAATAATTGTCAATCTGGGATATTGTGTGTGGGAAGGAAGAAGAAGAAGGAAATTTACAAATTTGTATTTGTTAAATATTAAGAATTCTTCTTTTATGTATGTTAACACCTCCAGCTAAAGTTCTAAGAAATCTATTGTTAACTGACACGCCGGCGTGTCCGCGGTCGTGAAAGGATTAAGGGGTGATATTTTATCGGAGAAGAATATAACAGGTTGTGAAATGGGAAATAAAGTATATTGAAACTTATGTGAAGTAAACAACTCATTTACTAAAAATATTTTTTAAATCTTGCACTTTTATAAATCAGGTATATAATAACAAAAAAATATTCTCAGAACCCAAACTTATAACTATAACTTACTAACACACCTAAAGGAAGACATGTTTTGCACCATTATTTAAGGATCATTTGTAGACTGTAGGTATAATTTATTTTTGCGTGCTGTGTTTAAAATATTTGTTATATACTTTTACACGTTTATACTATTAATAATGCGATAAATAAACAAGGGAAGTAATAAATATTATAACAAAAATATATTTAGCAATAACAATCAATATGCTTGAAACTTCCAGTTTTTAGGCCAAGTGTTGCAAACAATGCGTGCTGGCTCGGTCCTGTAGCCATGTTTGGAATAATGATGCGATCACCACAATTCCGTCACAATATTGTAATGGTAGGTACAATAAATGGTGATGTCTATCTTATACATTTTTCGAATACCAACTATTATTTTAAAATACGATTATATATATTTTATAATTAAGCAAGAATAGATGTTGCAAGCTAAATGTCTATGTTATTCTCCGTGCTTCTTTAATTTTGTAGAATTAGTCTGCTCTTGTAGTGTGACTGTTACTGAGTAACAGATATATAATAGCTTTCCTTAATAAACAGGATATAAAACGCAAAAAGAATTTTTCAAATCGGTCTAGTAAATCCAGAAATTATTGCGTTCAAACAAACAAACTCTTCAGCAGTGGGTACTTATATAATAAAAATACATAGATATTACTATAAATTGCATTATATCATTATATCAATATATAAAGAATAACTTTATATAATTCAAGCACTTTATAAAATCAAATAATGCCAATAAAAAAACACTTGTTGCTTTCTATGGCTGCTTGCTGCTACCTCGTGTACCTACTATCAATTATTATTTTATTGTGTTTTAGCTTGATATTTTTATTTTCTATACTTACCGTAAACATTTTTATGAAATTAATATAACCACGGTAATGTAATGCATACATTACAGTGATATAACAATGAAAAATGAATTATAAAATGATTATGTGAAACTTTTAAGGTTATAAACTATACAGGTGTATAATTCCAGTAAGATATTTGAGCTATTCTTTTTACTAAGAATTTTATCTAATAGTATAAAAAGTCAATCTCAGGACATATTAACATAATATTTTATTTACATCGGATTTTAGCCTAATAAATGGTCTTATCACTAGAAAAATTCAAAACAGTTCTCCTCAACTTACATAAATTTATATTGTTTAATATGTATGTATAAACATTTTTTTAAAATTAACTTTAACTGCAAATTTCTTTATAAATTACTATTGATTCATCATTGCCACTATACCATATATACCCCTTGGTACAAAGTGGTATACTCGTACGTACATATAAACAAACATAAACAGCCAAAAGTTCTATTTGTTACTTTATGATATGTAGACCTACCAATAAATTACATAACATCCGGTACGACTCATACGCCGCCAATCCTATGTTGATGGTACTATGTCAGGAATGTCAACACAACAATTTTCCAAAGTTTCATTTAAGTTGGCAGAATGGACTTAAAGGATTTATTTTTATTTTATACTAAGGACTTACAATCGCTTCACGCGGTTGCATCTATAAGTGCCTTTTTTATTTATAATATTAAGTACAGGCAGCACCACCTTTTGACAAAATTTATTATTAACAGAGGCCAATGTGTTATTTCAGGTAATATATTTATGTACTAATTTCCATCCAAATCCGTTCTACGGTTATAGTGTAAAGGAGTAATAAACATACATTCATACAAAGTTATGCATTTATAATAATAGTGTGATTTCTTTGATTACATGTACATGTACGAATATTTTTACGGTCCGTGATTTGATTCCGACGGCATTTAATATACCTACAGGCCACAGATCACATAATGTAGTATACCTGTCAATCAGAAGCAGCATCACAAGACGCCACGATATCCATTCCTTCATAATATCGTAGTACTTTATATGCTATAACTACGTTTTACTTATAAACAAACGTTTTTTATAACTTTTTTAAATATTAGCTTTTCATTATTGTATGATAATATATATGTACCTACGCTCTTTTTAACCTCAAAAAACGTTTTTGAATAGATTGTTTAACTAAAGTATGAATAGCATTATATTTAATACAAGTGGTCCATGGCAAACTACTATAAGATCAAGATACAGTTCGTATGAAATGATTTGATTCATTTAACAAATCAAGTTTATGAATGCTAATAATAATAATTTTCTCCCTATAATCCCCGACTCCTTTTAAAAAGGGAACTTATATAAACGATTAAATTTTCCATAAGCAAATACTTTGTGTATTTGCTTATGGAAAATTTAAATAAGGAAGGTACATAATATCTTCGCCGAATGTTTCTATTAATATAAAGTTATTATTAGAATTCTAAGTAGGTACCTACTATCATTTCATTCTCGCCTATCTATATGACTTAATCCGTGCAATTATAATTAATCAAAGATATAATAGGATAAGATTTAAGAAAATAGGCTATTATATAGAAAAAAATATGTGTTTATTTTAATAATAATATTGATAAAACTGTTTTAATGATGAATAAATGAAACTATATTGATATTTATCATTTGTTTTTGGTCTCGGTGTTGTTTGCAAAAATAGAGAAAAATAGAAAGACCGTTATATTGTTATTTCATTGTCTTTTATATTGATCTGAGATTACTTATTACGAGTTTGACTCGCGCAGATAGAGAGTGTTTGTAGTAAAACGATTGTCCCTTTGTACAACAAAGATCCATCAAACATAATATTAATGATGGCGGTGAAAGAAATATCTTTAGGTGTAATTGATACAGCCTTGCTGGTGTATGTATGAATATTCACGTGAAATATTAAAAAATATTAAAACTCCTTCCTTCCTCCTGAACGCTATATTATTTAATGTTTAAATATTTTTACGTACCTATGTATATTGGGTAGGTTCGTATATTATGTAAATTTTAAAGCTTTAATTTTTTTATCACAGTATATTTTTTCCTATTAATCCTTTTTTCGAAAACTCTCATAAAAGTAAAATAGGGTAAAAGAAGGTATGTTATTTTGACGTGATCACTGCGTACTTTAGCGATGAACGTGGTTTGAATGCTACAAAGGACCAATATTTGCTAAAACCATAAATATATATTTATCCGTGGAGGTATCAGGTAATACAAAGGGCAAAGATGACATCTGGATGTAGGTAAAGCACGAGAACGGAGTAGTACGTCTCTTAATTCTCCCTACCGTGAAAGTCGAAGATTGAAATTAAATTAAACCTGACACTTTATCCTAACGAAAAAACAGACATTTTTATAAGAATACTGTGTTTATCGTCATATTTTTATGTAATAATGTTAGATTTTAGGCATAGCGTAATATTTAGAATATCTGGTAATGAATTCATTCGGTGACAGTGATGTAGTTTTAGCGCTATTCGAAGGTTTTCGTTACATAAACAATGTCAATCGCATCTGGCTAAGCTATTAACACTGTGAATGTATAGAAAATTTGTAGCATTTCTATGAAATAGGTTTGATTTCTATTAAAACATAAAAATAAAATAAAGGGCTTCAACTAAATTTAGTAAATTTTGTTTAAACATTTTAAAATCGTGTAAAGCTTTCGTAGTTCATGACTTTACTAGTAGTTACTAGCATAATACGACTCCAGCAAAAATAGAGGGTAAAACATACTACAAATATATATAAATATTATATATATATATATATATATATATATATATATATATATAAACAATATATATATATATATATATATATCGATTCCATTTTTACATATTGTTATAATATTTGTCAAAAGTAAAGGTATGAATCTGAAAAATCTATCCTGTTATTTTTTAAGCTGCATTTTTTATTGCAAAGAAATCAATCGCTCTTGTAATTTTCCGATCAAAGCAGTCATCGGGGACGCAAACGTTTTCACGTGGCAGTACGACGCTCAAGTCTAATTTTATATAAAAGATTTGTCACGTGGCTCGACTCACGCGATAGAACAACTTCTGCAATCATAAGAAATAGCACGTAAGTTAAAGGAAAGGTAACTTTTAAAAATACAATATGATTGGGTTTACCGATAGCGAATTCTCTAATTTATGTTTTAAAAATTGCTAATCTTATACATATGTATATAATAACTCTCAGCTTATGTTACACGGAACAAGTTGATACTGTATCTACTTAAAGCCAAAACAAGACTTATATAAACTATATTATAAAAATTAAAAAGTCATTATTATTTAGTGTTGCTATTACTTATTAGTATAAAAAAAAATATTTCTATTTATTGAATATATTGTCTATACCAAAAAAGCCAAAGTACCGCAAAACTGATATACTGTTTATTTTCCAATAAAAAGAAATAAATTGATTGAAAACATAAATAAAATAGCACATAACATTAATAATTAATAATGTTTAAATTGTTCAAATATAAGCATGTTCTCTGAAGTTTAATGACTTATTAAAAAAGATCATTAGATGTGTAGAAGTTTCCGATTGATAGTACATTTTGTTTAATTATAGTATTATTATGAAAATCCTATGTATATCTAATAAATAGAAGAGAATAATAAAATATAAATATTTGTCTTGTATATAATTTCATTCTTTGACTTTCCCACCACTTTGCCTTACTAAATTAACAGGCATTCCTCTCCACTTCATAATATTATCATATAAATAAACTAAAGTAAGTAACCTCACATCAATCAATCATATCAAGTGTCTTCATACAAGTTAATAAACTACTACTTCGTAAATTTACAGTTTGGGAAATTTAATAGCGATAATTATTTTGATTTCTGTACAATTATCGGTATTAAGATAGAACAATATTTGTACGGCCTATATTTTACACACGTATAATATTTATTTTGATTGATTAGTAAGATTCTCAAAATAGATGAGTTGTTTATCTAACATGAAATTGTTTTCGAAAAAAAGATTAATAGGAAAAAATATAGTGTAATAAAAAAAATTAAAGCTTTGAAATTTACGTAATATAGGTACGAACCTAACCAAAATACATGGGTACGTAAAAATATTTAAACATTAATAATAACTAATTTGAAACAAAATAAGAACATTCACGGTATGCCGTAATGGGCGTGAAGAGGCCTGGCACCGACAAGCTTTGGAGTACGTGAAATGTTGCATGGACAACCACGCTGTTGTCTACGCATGCGCTAATTTACCCTTATAAAGCTTGCACCACCCCTTAAGGCGGCAGTTTGTAACTTAGACTCGGGAATCGAACACTAGGCTCTTGAGTCTTTTGCTTACTTACGATCACGAAAAAGTTTAAAAAATAATATTTGTGTGCTAATCATATAAAATAATATCCAAAGATATTAGGAAACTTATTTCGCTCAGAAAAGTGCAAAGCTTGCCGGACCTATGAAACATAAGCTGGGAGTTGATCTTGTGGCGAGTGAGAAGTTCGTAGGCGACTTGCCGGTGAACGTGGTGGGACAAACGTCAAAGACAACACCTCGTAAAGAATCTATGACACCAAAAATCATCGTGTGCCCTCCAGTAGAAGAAACAACAGAGCCTACCACTCCGGCTCGAGGGACAAGTTTGCTAAAAGCTCTTAGCAAACGTCTTACTCGACGATCCACGGACGCTGATTCATTAGGAAGCTCTAGTAGCAACGACAGCATGTCTTGCGAAACTGCCCGCACGGACGACAGGTCCTCTTGCTCGGCGAGTGACTCCAGCAGTGATAGCTCGGAGCGTCATCGTCGTCACCGCTCTATTGCCTCATTGCGACGTGTATTCCAAAATTTAAATTTAACTCGCTCACAATCTTGTTCACCTACTGAGAGACAACGGCAACCCAAGAAACAACCTCAACCAAAACGCATTCTTCGGCCACCTGTAACCTACACATATGTTCGAGGTTTATCCGGCTTGCCAACTCAAAGAGTGCCCCGACACACAGTCTGCTGTGCTCCTTTAGGCTTAAACCGATAAATACCATAGCGTGAAATACCACAGAGTGAACATCCAACGATTAAGATAGGAGAAAAAGACTGTATAAGAATAACGAGACAGTATTAAAAATGCTAGAGGAACGCTCTAATCATATCAGTAGTATCACTTTTATCCAGAGTCAGTTAGGCAAAGTAAATTTGTCTTAACGAAGGACCAAAGCTAAGGTGATTGTAGTAAGAATTTAAAAGTAAGCACCTCTCGAGCTCACGTTGCAGCGGTGGCTGTGACCTGTATAGTTCTATAAGGATTTCAGGAAATTGTAAAAGACTGTTTCAATTGTTTTGGATATCTGACAATGTAGAATATAACAAGTGTATCACTTTACATGCAATACTATGAAAAAATGCACAGTAAAATATTGCTATAAACAACTACACAATAAGTAGAGTCACTCCTATGTGCATATTTCTTTCAAGTTATTGAATTGATAGTTCATTAAATAATAAGTCCATAACGGTACTCAAGCTACAAGGTCAAATTTCCTGTAAGAAGAATAGTGCCTTTCCAGAACTAGTTATTAGATTTAAAACTTATACACTAGTATTTCTAAGTAAATCAATTTTAACATTTTAACTTATTCAATATCAACAACAGTCTAATATGTATAGAAAGCATTAATTATTTTAAAAAAACTTATGTGTATTAAAAGCAGTATTATGTAATAGGTTTAAAATGTATTTATTTCTATGCACTTTGAAGTAGTATTAGATAGAATAAATGTTAAACCCTAGTTATAAGTTATTTTTATTGTATAAGTTTTGGTATTTAATAAAAAAATATGTAATTTATAACTTTCTTTTCCTTTTATAATTTCTCTAATATTTTTATTATTTTATCATAAAAAATGAATATTGCCGCTAAAATATAATTTCGACTCAAATCCTAAATATTAAATATAATAGGTATAATAGATGGTTTAAAAAATATAATTGGAAGGAAATCATTTACAAATACAAAATATTGTTCTGAGCGGAACCCATTTACTTTATAGTTTTTTTTTCGTCCCCACCACCTACGCTATCGTGACTCTCTTTGAGACCTGCGTCGCGAAAACGTGACTATTCATCTACTTTCTTTACATCTAAGAGAAAGGTTAATACTTACATAAAGAAAAACTTATATATAAATTAAACAAAAGATATTCTTTAGTTCATGCCTCAAGGTACTGTTAAAGTAAAAAGTCAGTTAATTTGACGACACGTTTGGCTCAGTTTGTAATGACCCTTTGAGACCCTACTTGCTGCGCCGGCAGTCGCGGGTTCGAGTCCCGCTGGGGGCATTCATTTGTGTGATGAGCACGAATGTTTGTACTCCAGTCATGGATGTTTATATTTATAATATGTATGTATTTAAAGTTATATATGTATAAAGTATCAACTACCTGGTATATATAACACAAGCCTTGTAGCTTACCATGGAACTAGGTAGTGTTGTGTGTTAATGTCCTGACATATTTAAAGTTAATAAAACTGAAGCTGAAAATGGATGAATAACAAAACGTCCTCCTCCGACCTTACTATCCTACCTTATTATTATCCTACCTTATTTTAGCTCGAATATTTAAGGATTTTTTAAAAGAAAATACTCTTCATTCGATAAATAGAATTAAAGTTTTCTTAAAATAATTACCGAACTTTTTCTTAATATATGTATGTATAATCGAGTTTTTATAGTAATTTATTTTGGATATTCTTAATTTAGATTTTTGATAATCTTAGTTTAAATCTCTAAATAATTGTAATTATATATAATTGAATAATGCACGAGTTGTACGTAGACGTTTACCTCATAAAGACAAACTCGTTCTCTAGAATGTACAAGTGACTTCGCTCTCCGCTTTTACCTCTTAGTATGGAGACGTACGCACTTAATATATTCACTCCTACATACTCGTAATGTATCGTGGTCCAACACCCCACACTTGACCGTCGTGATGGAATATAGCCTAATTCCCCTCACATTTAAGAGAAGTAAGGGAAGAAAGGGGTGAATTATATACCTATATACCAACATTTATGACAAAGAAATTAAAGTCGACTTCTTATTAAAATCTCGGTTAGTAAATACTTAACTAAAAAACAGTTTGAGCTTGAGAAAAAAAGGTTTCTATCAATGTATATACCTTTTTAACTATTTTTATCATCATGAATTTGCCGCCAGGAATTCGAGACGTCGATACTTAGAGCCATTGCCTATTATTATCGGCCCACTCTCGGACAATGTATTCTATATTAGACGCGCCGTTATACAAGCTAGCGTACTGCGTCATATCATCAAATATAAATTTCTAGTTTAGTTTTGTAGCAGAAAAAGTCGATTGATAAATTAATAAATAAATATTTTGTAAATATTTTGGGTTCCGAAGCCGTTTATCGTACTATTATAGGCACACGGTTTCCGTTAGCTTGTTGGTTTGTATGTTATAATCGCTGCACTCCACCACTAACACTATACCTACGTGTATGTAGCTGAAATTCAGAAGTTAGGAGAAGCAATGCAACTTATTATTTTGTAAGTGTATAAACATATTATCCAAATATCACTATTACACATTTTTTTGAGTTTAACTCCATAATCTATTTGCGTATACATAGTATACTCAAATTTTTTATATAAGCAAACAACCTTTGGGCTATGGAGTTGTAACTCTAGATGACTGTTCTATTATATTCAAACTAATGCTACTGATATATTCTATTGTGTTAATTGGAAATGTGTCAAAAACCTTCGCGAGCGTGAATTGATCGAGCGCATATTTGTAAATCTCAAATTATTATTGTATGTATACATAATAACTGACAAGTAACCATTAGATTTTTTTATTTCACACAATTTATAATAATATTTAATGTATTTATAATAACATAAGTATAAGAAACTTTAACAGATCTTTCAATCTATGTAATGTAATCTACATAAAAAGTTTAATTTATCAAAGTACTAGCAGAACCTGCGGCTTCGCAGGAGCTACAACTACAAAAAAACTCTAAGAAGGTAGGTTTCATACACTTTTATCCCCTATTTTACCCCCTTATGGGATGAATTTCGAAAAATGAATAGAAAGCATTAATACCAAGTTTCAAGGAATTCTGATAATAATTTTTTTTTGTTGTATTATAACGTGTTTTCCCGTTGGAGTGGGATAATACCCCGCGATAAAAAGTAGCCTATGTCACTTTCCAGCCTTCCAACTATCTCCACACAAAAAGTTACGCCAATCCGTCACTCCGTTTCGACGTGAAAGAAAGACAAACAAACACTATCACATTTATAATATTAGTATGGATGTACATAGGTATTTACTAGTTTCACCAAACATGCTTAACTTGTAACTAGGATTGACGAAATTAAAAGACATTATAGAAGCCAATTAATTTTCATTTGTCCGTTAATACTGCAATAATGTGGCGATCTAAAAACAAAAATAGGTTAGTGGCAATACTCGACTAGAATATATAATCACCCATACCTATTGAGTTTTTTATTGGTAAATAATTTAAAAAAAAAATGTATCTTTCTTCGTTCGCCTTCCCCTTCGCCTTCGCCTTTCCCCACAAATGAATATTGTCGCATAGTGGCGAGAGTGTAACGTCATTGCACCAAAAATAATAATTAAAAAATCACGTCTGAAGCATTTCCAGAAAGGCATCGAAATTACGAGAAGTTTCAAAATTAACAGACAAGAACAGTTATTCATAAATTGCCGCGTGTAAGAGTAGGAGACAAACAATACATTTAAAATTACTAGAAAGGTTTCGTTCCAATTTTCGAATACTAGAATTTTCTTTGTTTATGCATATAAAAAGGCCGGCAGTGTGTCGAGAGATCAGTTGAATTTTGAAGCTAAGTGAAGACTGAGAAGAAGTACGAAAAAGTGAGAAAGTGAGGTAAAGTGGAGTGAAGTCATAGTGAAAGTATATCTAGTGGTGAAAATTAGTGTTTATTGACTGAAATAACCAGGGACTGAAATACTGCGCGTGTTAAGTGAATCTCTATAAGTCACTCTTGTTAACTAAGAGCAATAAAACATCAATAGAGCAAAAGATGAGCTTTAATTTTCGATCCTCGAACTCATAGAACGTAACCATATATATAGGAGAAGGACCGAATATGGAATACATAAACAAATTCTGAAAAAAAGCAGTACAAAAGTTTTATTTTAATCAGTTTAATGGTTTACAATTAAATGCAGTAGTAATTACTCTTGAAAAGTAATAATGAAATCATCAAATAATAAACACTTTCCGTAATATTATTAACTAAAATAAATCAACCAAAAAATTGCTTCTCAAAAATGTGATCCTATTATGGAATACCCTACTCCATAATAGGATCACGTCTCGTTAATCAAAACAAAATAATAAAATCAACCCTGCAAGCAAAAATCACAAATAAAATCTGCATGTTCTGATCCGGACCACGCAACGTGACACCACTGTCTACAGGCAATGCACCGAATCCACTCTTCTCCCTTTTTGTCTTCACTGAGAAAAACAGAGCAATAAATGCACCCAGTGTCAGCATTTGGATCGTACAGTTGAGTAACTGCGGGCTTATCGTCACTATAATCATTAGATAAAGGTGGTATTTCTATCAGAAGATGATTCAGACTTCAACACTGGTTTCTACATTCGCTTGTTTTTCTGACTTATATGTTGTTATATGAAAGACATGTGCAGCTCTCTTATAACCCATTGTTTGGGTTTTCACCGCTTCAATAGCATTTTCCATATTGGTTTTGTTTCAGGCTTTTCGGTTTTTTACTGGCGGATCCATGTTGATCATGAATATATTTGTAAAAGAGAGAAATAGTAATAAATCACCACATTAAAAACTTACTTACGTTGAGATCCTAATATGGACTAGTATTCCATATTAGGAACTCGACGATATTCCATATTACGAACAATATGATGGCGAGAGGAAAAAAAAAACTTTTTATTATTATTAAATATTCATAAAATAACAATACCATT